AGGAAGGTGGTAATTGGCCTTCAAACTGCCGAGTCCCGAGGACCACCCGTGCAAACCAAGTAGGGATTGCACAGTGATGTCACCTGTGACCGCGCGTCACAGAGACACCTTCAAGGCAGCACAAAAGGAAAAAAAAATAGGAAAAAAAAAAAAACCATGCTGGAAAGAAGATCAAGCATGGCCAGGCGGCTGCTGCCTGAGCAATTTAAACGCCCACATCCCGGCACCGGGCTTTGCCCCTACGGTGACCGGAACCGCCCATGGCCCGTGTCCACCTTCCTTCTCCTAAAGCGGGGCTCTGTGTCTCAGGACACGCAGTGCACGTGGGCAGACGCCTGTTTTAAGAGCCAGAACCGTAACTTCTCAGTTTTGCTTTTTGAAACACAGGCCTTCCAGGGGCTGAGGTCTCCAGGCGGAGGACGGCGGAGCGATCCCCGTGCGGGCTCCGCCGCAGGCTGTTCGGTGCGATGCCACAACGGTTATTATGTAACAGCGTCACCGCCCCGCGCGGGACCCGGAACCGGCCCGGCACGGAGCACGGGCCCGCGAGCGTGTGCAGAGGGAACCCCCGGGGTTTCTGGGCGCGCACACGGCAACGCGGCCTTGCTGCCCGCCGTACGTGCCCCCGGTCCGCGCGGCCGGGCTCCCCGAGCTGGCGCAGGCCCGGCTCCGCAGGGTCGGTTCCGACTCGTGCCCCCGGGAATAAAGGGCGCGGAAGCAGCGCGGAAGCGGCCGAGGCGCCGCGGCAGGACCGCAGCCACCGCCGGCGCCGTCCCGGGGACCCGGCGAGCAGACGCGGCGGAAGGGACGCGGGCCCGGGCGGCGGCGAGGAGGGCTCCCCGGCGGAGGCGGCCGCACCCACCTCTTGATGCACAGCCGCGACGGCAGGTAGGCCCGGTAGCCGTCGGTGATGTACGGGTTGTCCTTGAGCGACACGGGGATCTGCTCGTAGGTGTAGAGGCGGATGCCGCGGGGCACCAGCACCGGCCAGTACTGGTAGCCGCCCAGCTCGATGTAGTGCGCGCTCCGCAGCAGCTTCTGCTGCATCGTCCCGGCCGCCGCCCCGCTCGGGAGCCCGCCCGGCCCCGCTCCCCGGGGAGGGGGCTTCGCCGCCGCCGCCGCCGCCGCCGCCGCTCAGGCCGGTCTCGGCGCACAGCCCCGGCGGCGTCGCAGCCCTCTCTGACGTCACACGCCGCGCCGGCCCCGCCCCTCGACCCGCGCCGGTGGGTCGCGCCGCGGCGCCCCCTGCTGGGGAAAAGAGCCCAAAGCCCGGAGCTGCACGGGCCCGTTCAAGTGGTTTTTCCGTTTTTAATGGGGAGCAATAGTTACTGCGTTTTGGGAAATCAGGAGGAAAAGAGTTAACGGGAAGAAGAATGAGAGCTTATTCTCCGTTCAGTTTGTGCTTGGCATGGCGCACACTTAGCGTCAGGAGGGACCTTGGAGGTTTTCTAAGCTGGAATCAGTTCTCAGGGGCGGTGCGGTGGGAAATGGGGGAAACGCACGCCCGGATCAGAGCGTGCTGAGCTATGGAGACGCAGAGCGTGTTCTCTGACCACATGGAATCGAACTAGAAATAAACAGGGAAACTAAAAACCTCCACACCTGCAACTGAAACGACACACCAAGTATTTCGTGGGCTGATGAGGAAGTCACAGTGGAAATGAGTAAATCGACTTCTCTGAATGATCATACAGACAGAGCATGTCCAAACCTGTGGGAGGCCGAGGAGGGAGGGTCGCTGGAGGTCAGGAGTTCGAGGCCAGCCTGAGCAAGAGCAAGACCCTACCTATCTCTACTAAAAATAGAAAGAAATTAGCCGGACAACTAAAAATATTAGCTGGGCGTGGTGGCTCACGCCTGTAATCCTAGCACTCTGTAATCCTAGCCTCTGGGAGGCCGAAGCGGGAGGATTTCTTGAGCTCAGGAGTTTGAGACCAGCCTGAGCAAGAGCGAGACCCCGTCTCTACTAAAAATAGAAAGAAATTAATTGGACAACTAAAAATATATGTAGAAAAAACTAGCCGGGCATGGTGGCTCATGCCTGTAGTCCCAGCTACTTGGGAGGCTGAGGCAGGAGGATCGCTTGAGCCCAGGAGTTGGAGGTTGCTGTGAGCTAGGCTGACGCCACGGCACTCACTCTAGCCCGGGTGACAAAAAAAAAAGCTGTGCAAATTGACCTCCCTGTCAGTAGATGGCACTTGCCCGGAGGAGCAAACTACCACGTTGTTTTTGGGTCTTGTGACCAGCTCTAGTGCCCCAGGTGGTGGGTGGGGCCCTGGGATTCCAGGTGTGTCCTATTCTCCACCTCAGCAGGGGCGGGTGGGGGAGTGAGGCTGGACGGGGCTGGGTTGGGTGAGCTGCCCTCAAGCTTGGCAGGTGCTTTTAGCAGGGGTCAAAGGTCTGTTCCCCGCCTCTGGGCAGAGCTGCAGGTGAGGGGCTGAGGTGGTCCCCCGTCAGCCAGAAGGTCTGTGTGTTGAGGTGGGGCTGCCTGAGACCCCCAGTCTGGAGCCGGCCTCGCTCCTTTCCAGCCTCCCCTACGCCGTGGTTTCTCCTGGGCCTCTGCCAGCAGGACCTCCAGGCAGCCAAGCTCCCCAACAACAGTGATGTGGGTTGGGGTTCCCTGCCCAGGGTCCTGGCCCGAGCTGGGGGCGCAGCCCTCCTGGAGAAGAGGGTGCCCCACGAGCGCGCAGCGAGGACCCGCACTGCACTCAACCCTGCTCTACCCCGGCAGGCACACACTCCCCCCAGACTCATTCACAAATATCCCCTCTGTGCCCCGGGGCAATGCAGTTGAGACCTGGGTGTATGGGATCTGGCCTGCAGGCCATGCCCCGAACCCCAGAGATCAGTCCCTCACCCTGCCAGGGAGAGGAATGCTGGTCCCAAGTCACCCACGCGGTGCCCAAGCTGGATCAGTGTCCTCCGCCTCAGGGTTTGCCCCGCTCTGCTGGAGTCACCAGGCCAGCAGTGCCAGGAAGGACTGGCGGGTGGGGAGCTCCCAGTCCGAGCACCCCTCAGTTCACTGCATGACCCCCAAAAGAAAGGTCCAAGCTCCATTCCCTGTGGATGTCCCCGTGTGCTGGCTAAATTGTCTCTCTTGGCAGCAACGGGTGGGGGAAGGGAAGGGGAGAACGAAGATGTCTGCCCCGTGGCCGTCTCCGACCCTCTCCCCGGGAGGCCTCTGCCCAGAATGACCGGGCTCTGGAGTCACGCAGATCATCTGGGACCCACTGGATCCCTGTGACACCTGCAGTCTGGGCTGGAGTTGGGAAATGTCTGTGTGGGGACGAGCAAGACAGAACCTGCGGGGTAGAGGCCCCATGCGGAGGACAAAGGCGCCCGGTGGGTAGATAAGCAACATGGCGCTGCTGCCCGGCCTGGGCTGTGGGTCAGGAGAGGCCCTGGGGGAGCTGGGAGCCCGGCGCCCCGTCTGCAAGAGCCCTCTGCTCCCTGGCGGCGGCCGTCTCTGGGCTGGTGTGGGCAGGTCTCTCCAGCCGCTCAGGAGCCACCAATAGTCCCAGACGGGAGGGGCATTTTAACTGCTCCACCTGCCTTGTCCCTGGTCTCCAAGCCTCTCCACCCTAGGGTGCCTTTCTCTTTCCACCTCTGCTCAGCAGCCTCTTCCTGTGGGGTCTCCTGTAGGTCCAGGTACCCTTCCTTCCGACCTCCATCTGATCTATGTTTGTCGTTTTCTCTTTCATCCAAAATTTCTCCTTCCTGCAGAGATGCTCTGGCTGGCGGCGTCTCCCACCCGCCATCTTGCCTCCGACCCCTTGGGCTGATAATGTTTAGATGAGATGTTGGGCTTAGAGTCGATGCCGTAAGGGATTGAGACTGTCGGGGATGTTGTCATGGGGAGAATGTATTTTGTGTATTCAACAGACATGAATTTTGGGCGGCCAATGGTGTTCTCTCGGTGTTAGAGCAAAGAACGAGAAGAGACTTGCATTTATCAGGAACGTAAAGGATCTGTTCTCTAGTATTGGGTATATGTCCTTCGACTCTATTGCGGCCAGCTGGGAAATAGGTTTAAGGGATGGCACAAAAACCAGATACTCAAGGATGGCTCTGTTCTTTGGAGGACCAGGCACCACGTGGGGGAAACAGAGCTGCCTAACTCAAAAGATCATCGCTATCAGTCTGACACAAAGGCCTAGATGATTATTGGGTCTTCAGAAAGACCCCGTTAAACTGTGTTCACATTACTTTGGGGATGCGATCAATTAGCAATCGTCGTGGAATAGTTCACCAGAGGAGGCGGTCACCACCCAGGTTAGAGCCCTGAGAAACTAAAGCACCAGCGGGCAGCGTGGTTTTGCCAGCAGTGAGGAGGGTTACGGGAGGTTCTCGGCGTAAAGTGTTGATAAGGAAGGAGGCAGGAGGAGTTGGAAAAAGGAAGCGAGAGACAGGGAAGGAGAAGGAAGCAGAAGCCCTCGGGAGTCTCGCGGGATCAGCTGATTGTAAATTCTGCAAAGACAGGAAGTGCAGTTGGCTCACCCTTGCATGGAGCGCAAATAACATAGCACCCGGAGCACACAGGTGCGCAAAAGCTATTTATGGACTAGATAGATGAAAGAAGGTATGTTCTAGAATGAGGGCTGGTATCTGTTCTGAAAGGGAAGAGAGGAGAGCTATACGAACTAAATTCATATACCTAAGTAAGTTAAGTCCTGCTAAAGATTGTAGAACCACGGTGTGAATGTAGAAAATTGTGCAATTTCCACCTATAAGATCGTTAAAAGCAGGATAGATTCTCGTCTGTCTGGAAGGGTTCCTGTGAAAAACAGGAGTATGATCTGAATAATCTGGGTTCTTTCTTCCCTGGACTTTCTTTGTTTCTGTTTTTCAATTCCAAGAAATTAAATGCAAAATAATACGCTACCGCCATCACCACCAGGCAAACAACAGTAGGCATTTATTGAGGGTTTACCGTACACCAGGCAACTCTCTGAGTGTGATCTTTGCACTAACGAGTTGTTTTATTGCTGACAATTCCTGCAGATTTTACCATGTATTTATACTGTCTTCCAGCAGAGGACACCCTTATCCTGCAGAACCGTGACCCCCTAAACTATGCCTGTATCCTGACACTGAGAGTAGGATGAGAAATGAGTCATTTTAAAGTCGGCATACTATGGTTTAAAAAAGAAAAATCAACTTATTATCTGCATCTGAATTGAAATTCTTAAATAGGAATCATCCAGCCCTCTGGAAAGTTAGATTTAAAGAGGTTTACAAAACGGAAAACTCGGTGATTAAGTTCATACACTTTTTGAATGGCTCTGCAGCTTTTGTGTCTTTTGCGTAACAGAAAATAATTTGCTGTTCTGTTTTCCTGAGGAAAATCGGCACAAAGAATGCTTTTTGGAAGGCAAGCTTTGCTCAGAAGATGGATGAAAAACTCCTTCCCTTGCCTGTCCTTTGCTAACACATTGCCCTCTCTACCTCATTTCTTTCTCTCTTTTTCTTTTTTTTGAGACAGAGTCTCACTCTGTTGCCCGGGCTAGAATGCCATGGCGTCAGACTAGCTCACAGCAACCTCAAACTCCTGGGATCAAGCGATCCTCCTGCCTCAGCCTCCCGAGTAGCTGGGACTACAGGCATGCACCACCATGCCCGGCTAATTTTTCTATAT